CMWYCCMRCTGGGATCCTGGTACATCACGACACTCAGCGCCTGTGACAGGTGCCAGGTGCCTGGCAGAACACATGCTCCCTGAGCACACGGGGACAATGGGAGGGGAGAGGCAGCAACTGAGATGCCCTGAGTACCTGAGGTTCACAGGATGGAGGAGAMCCTTTCCCTGGGACACAGACTCACTGAACACCGCACTGTCATACCACAGCAGTCAGCAAGTAAAGGCTGGGATTCGGACGAGCTCAAGGCCGACCCTGACTGTGACACTGGAMAAATTTACTAAATCTAAGGTTCAGTTTCCACATCTGTAAGATGGGCACTGTGCCAGGTGCTGGGCAGGTCACAGTGAACAGGCAGACACAGTCGCAGCACCCACAGGTCCTCTGTGGGGAGGGACCCCTGGAGCTGATTGAGACCCTGCTGAGGGGCAGCATCCTGGAAGGGGCTGGGCTGGGGAGGACAGAAGATGCACGGGTGGGGGAGGGGCTGCTGGCTGCGGTGGGAAGTCCRACTTTAGTTTGCTCAAAGTCCCCAGTGGGTAGGGGAAAGAAGTCCCCAGTGGGCAGGAAGGAAGCTGGAAGCAGATCATGGCCAAACAGGTTACTAGGGACAGCATGGGCCAACCTCCATTCTAGAGAAAGGAGGCTCAGAGAAAGGAGGAAGTCATTGGGGTCGTGGGACTRTGCTGGGCCTGGCCTCCCGCACACCAGCTGCAGCTGCCTGTCCCTCCCACGCTACTGTAGGCTCCTCTGGTTCCAACTGAGGCCAGACCGTCAGTGCCCACAGCYACACTGTGCACCCCAAAGCCATCTTCCTTTCAGTCCATCTGCTTGTCTGCCTGTGTTGGCCTCTTGGTCTCCCCTGCGGCCTGGCTACACCTCTGGTCACTGATCTCTCCTGCTGCAGCTGTCATGGCAGATCTAGTGCCAAGGCTCCACCAAAGCAGCCACAGCGAGGGCTCCCACCAGCCCAGAGACCCCAGAGCCTGGGGCTGGCTGCCTGGTCCCCTTGGGGTTCTGCTCCTGGCTGCCCCTGCAGGGGACACTAGTGCTCCATTGAGAGGATCTCTCAAAGACAGCCCCTGCCTCTCTACAGGCCCTGCCTCCTGCACTGGGAGTCAACAGTGGCTCCCTCCAGCTTCTTGGGTCTAACCCTAATCTCTCCTRCTGCAGTAAAGTGCACTTTTGTCAGCTGAATCTGTCGAAGTCCAGAAGACAGGGCGACCTCTCCTTAGAGAAGTAATTCAAGTCTCTGCTGCCCCTCCTCCTGGCCTCCTCATTGTCTCCCATTCCAACCCAATTTTGAAGAGATGGTACTCAGCCAGGCCTGCATCTGGCCACCCCTATCACCCAACTAACTCCATGGTCCTCACAACCCAGGCAGAGGTTCCSATCCAATTTMTCAACATKKTMWCACCCTCAGTTCAGAAGACTGTGYCAGGCAGGGGCTGCAAAGGACCTYAGAAATYAACCTGTCCAATCCCTTCCTGTTTATAATATACRTACGTGTGTATGTATATGTCACCTATATACATCCAAGAAGGAAAAGGGGGGAATAGAGAGAAAAAAGACCCCTCATAATCCCACAACCAAGAGTCAAGGATTTTGTCAACCACCTCACTTAAAAGTGCAGAAATAGGCCCAGAGGGAGAAAGTAATTCACCCAAAGCCACACAGCAAGTGRCACAATAGGACTAGAAACTAAATCTCTGGCCGTGCCCTGTGCGGTTCTGCACCCCCAGCCTCTGGACACTTCTCTTCCGCTGCACCCCCTCATCACCCCCCAGCCACCTCCACCATACCCTTCTCTAAAGGAATCCAGTGTCAGCTACATACGGGGTCCATGAAGTCAAGAATASTGTCACTGACACTTCTGTGCCTGATGCTTGTGCGGTCCTGAGGCACAGCCACCAAAACACAGCATCCCCCTGGACATAGCCCTCCATCACTAAGCCAGTGAGGCTTAGATCTCTTCTTGGTTTTCTCTGCCAAGGGGCTTGGCTGCAAATGACCCCTGTCCTCAACCCCAGAGAAAGTGTGGGTGCATGAGGAGAGGGAGAGCATAAATTATACGTTGAAAGATGGGCCTCCTTTATAACAGGAGGGATTCAAAGTAGAGCTCAGAAAGAACTTCCAGGTGGGAGAAATGATTTGGGGAAACTGGTAGAGGGGAAAGGGAATGTGCAAATAGGAGCCCSGCCCCTATCTAGAACCAGGGCAGCTGAGAGCCAAAGGCGACCCGGGAGTGACAGGGGGACTCTTCAGGCTGGGGGTTGGAGAAGAGACAAGTAGAGTCTCCCTGGGCCCCCCGCCTCTCGACGGGTTCCAAACAGGTAGGAGAAAAGAAGTGAGGCCGCTGCTGCCTTTGCCCAGGGAGACCCTGGGTCCCCTCCCGCTGGTGGCTCCCACCTGGCCGCCTACCGCGACCCGGCCGGGGTCAGCGGGGAGGAGGCGGAGGAGGCGGAGAAGGGAGAGGAGCCTCGTCGGCCCCCTCCGCAGAAGCCAGCCTCGCCCGGAGTGACAGGGGCCCCTCGGAACTCCCTCACTGTCCCCTTTGGGGCCACAGTTCACTGCCTCCCAGAGTCGCCCCTCTTGGGGTCCCTGGGGCGTCGTCCAGGAGGGCAGCGGAGGTCGGGCATCGCTGTCCAGCGCCCCGCCCTCCCTCACGCCCCGGTGTTGGGCCGGCGGGGTCCCGTCCACCTGCCCCAGCCGCAGCCCCGGCCTCCCGCGGACGGTGTCCCCTCCTAGACGTCGCCCGCCGCCCGCCGGCCCCCGGGGCCAGTCCTACCTGCCGCGGGCTGGAGGCTCAGCGCCTGGGCAGCCTCCCTGAGYGCCAGCACCAGGAGCCACAGCTCGCCCCGCATGGTGGTGGCGGGACCCGCCCCGGCCGGCTCGCGGCGGCGGCTGGCGAGGAGGGGGCCGAGCGGGGGCGCGCGGTCCGCAGGCGGGAGCCGCAGGAGCGAGAGCGGGCGGCCGGCGAGCAGAGCGCGGCGCCGCGGCCTCCGGGGACCCGGAGCCGGGGGGCGGGGGAGGGCGGGGCGGGGCGCCGCGCCCGGAGCCTCCCAGCCTCCCAACCTCCTCGGCCACGCAGCCTCGCAGCCTCCCCCGGCCTTCAGCCTCCCAGACTCCCCAAGGATCGGAAGCTACTTGTGATGCAAAAGCAGAGGGGACCGGCGGGGACCCTGGACTGGAGGATCCCCTAGGCACCTTCGGCCGTCCTGCACCCCCACTTGGCTCCTGCCTCCCTTCCTCTCCCTTGCTCCCCCAGGGGAAGCCAGGAGAGAAGTTCCAAGAGGTGGTACCCCAGGAAGCGCCCTTGCYATGGCCGTGGGCTCCTGCCACCCGCCTCCTCCAGGCAGCGCGACTTTCTGAGCTGCTCCTCGGTGTCTGTAGGTTTCCGAGGTTTTACTCCAGCGCATCTCCCCCGGTGGCCAAGAACCCGGCCTCCCCTCTGCGCAGCCTCCCATCGTGCCCCTCCACACCCYATTTCCAGCAGGGTTTGCCCTCAGCCCAGCACCCCTGGAGAGCAGGGGCCTGGCTCACCCCTACCCTGAAATAACCTGGACCCCTGTCCCCAAGAAGGCCACTGAGGCACGCGCCRCTCTGGAGGCCTCTGAGGCCAGAGCCAGTCAATCTTGAAAGCCAGCTCCAGAGCCGGCCAGTGTCCCCCACCGCACATCAGGCTCTGGGGAGAGGTTTTTCTTTTTTCTTCCAGGACAGAATAAAAATACCCGCAATTTAGGAGGTTTAATAGACAGCAGCGAATCAGGTCAGGACCCGGAGGTGCCTCTGACCTACTTCGGGGAGGGCAAGGAGCTGGGGGCCCGGGTAGGCGAGGGGCGAGGGGCTCCTTGACTGCTACAGGGCTGGGGTCTAGGAACAGGAATATTGCAGAGAGGAAGACTGTGGACGTGTAGCTCCATGGGGGAAGAGTCCCTAAAAGGAGGGATACAGCTGTGGACAGGACAAGAGACAGTTTGGCTGGAGGAAGCAGGTGGACTAGACCTGAGGAAAGAAACGGGAATTAAAGGCTGTTTAATCTCTCAGAATCCCGATTCCTCTCAATTCCTTAGGACCCAAGATCCCAGAGGCGACCTATTCCAGCCCTAAACCCTCTCTCCACTTCCTACCAGTGATGTCTAACTTAAATCCCAACTTGACCGACGCTCGGAGGAATCCAATAAGCTGCTGTTTCCAGCTGCGGCTTCCTGCTGCCCTCCAGTGGCCACGCGAGGAGCAGCAACGTAGTATTTTGTGGTTCCCATGCATTTTCCGGCCAGCTCAGGCTCTGTGCCTACTAAGATCGCGACACTAGGGTTCCTAGCTGCTCGTCCCCACCTCGAGGTTGGAGTGAGAGGTCCCAGGATGGACTTCCAGGTCCGGCCCCGGTGTCTCCGTACATGCGCGGTCTCGAGTGCCCGCGGTCGGTGTTATAAGGTCTCTGATTTGGCTCAGGCAGAAACAGCAGCTTAAGAGATATTAGAAGCAAACGAGGTGCACGTTTTTTTAACCTTTAAGATTCTAGAACTTGAGCGTACATCAGGGTCACTTGGAGCGCTTAACGGAGTTCTGGACTCCAGCCTCAAGTTTCTAATTCAGCTGGTATGAGATGAGGCCCGGGGATCTACGTTTCCTAAGAGCATCCAGGTGCGGTGGCTGTGTCCTGGACCACATCAGCAAAGCCACTGCTCTAGAAGCTCCCATTTCCTGAGGTTCACCACGGCTCCTTCACTGTCCCAAAGGCAGGTGGCGAAGGACATAGTAACATAAAAGGTGTGGAAGAGCCACGAAGCAGTTTTGAAACAACATGGACCTAGAAAAGAAAAGGTAGGGGGCACCCGGATTTGAACCGGGGACCTCTTGATCTGCAGTCAAATGCTCTACCACTGAGCTATACCCCCTCTGCCGGCTGGCCCGCGCGGGAGGCATCTTAGTGCTAGTCTTGCGCAGGCGCAGTCGCGTACTGTCGCAAAAAGAAGTAGTGTCCGTCGTTTGTCCAAAAAAAAAAAAAAAAAAATAGAATAAAACCCCGACTACTTTCATGGAAGCAGAGGATGTGTTGCCTGAAGCTCTGAGCTAAAGATTCCTACTGGTAGTCTAAGAAAAATGGAAACAGGGTGTGCAGGAGAAGACGTTCAAGAGCCTTCAAGAGCCCTCATTTCGGGGGCTCTCCTCTGGGCCGGGACCCCACTCTCCGTTCCCGCAGGAGCTCCCTACTGCGTTTCTTTCTCCCTCCCACACTTTCACGCGGCGTCTCCGGGCCTTCTTTCCCCAAACCGAGCCCAGCCACCTTCCTGACAGAGAGCCGTCGGGGTCGCTTGCCACTGGGGTGCGCCGCCGGCGCCCTACTGCACGTGAGGGGACTGTCCCATATGACCTCCCGGTCGGCCTGAGCAACTTGCCCCACACAATCCGCCCTTGGACATAGAGTCTAAGCGACGGGCAAGGTCCATTACTTCCTCACCTGCTTGCAAAACACAGGGTAACAACCGCTCCCGTCCCCCCGGGGTTCTGCTGCTCTCCTGCCTCGTCCGTCACACAATTCCTCAAAATTGAATGGGGGAACAATACCCAAAAGATGCCAAAACAGGCGAGGGGGCACCCGGATTTGAACCGGGGACCTCTTGATCTGCAGTCAAATGCTCTACCACTGAGCTATACCCCCACTTGCTTCTTCTCCTTCATTAGAATGAATTTGTATGGAATAAGGGCGTGGCAAGATTGATTTCTCCTACACTCTTAGTCTGAATCAGATTATCCTCTTATTAAGGAGAACACAAAATAAAAATATACAATGAGTGCAGCTAAAACTCCTGAGTTCTTTCTCCAATAATCATATCTTGGAAAGATCACAAGTTTAAGACCTACTTGTCACCAGGACCATTCCAGGTCTTCAAGGGAAATAGCCCTGCTCCCTGAATACAGAAGGACAATATTGGTCTCTATCCTGTCTCCAGCTCTACCTAGAGAAGACTCCTGGACTTTTCCAAACCTGGGAGTCCCTCCTTCTTTTTTCCATGGATCGGAATCAAACCAAGCCGCGGCCCTAGGCCCAGTCAAAAGCTCCCAGTCCTGACTTATCAGGTACTAGTGCCTTCCAGCCTGGTGATAGATCACTGAGCCAAGAAGCCATTCTCCTAGCCAGAGCCTCCTCCTTTCTGAGAGTTTTGCAGAAATAAGATGGAACATTTTTTTATGACATTTATTACTCCTTTATTAAAATATCAATGCAATATTTAAAAAGTCATCACACAAAAACAAAATAAGCAGGTCCTGTAGGAATCTGGAACAATTAGGAGAAGTGGGATTCACATTGGATGGATACTGAGAGCCAAGGGAATACCACTGGGGGGGGGGGGGCTTACAGCCCCCAAACTGCAGTCAGAGTCAGCATCTCAGAAGGAGTGGGAAGTTCTTTCCCCTCCCAGGTTTTGGCCCTACCCTCCTGCCTCCAAGCCACCTTCTTCATCCTTCTGGAATCTCAAAGGGTATGGGACAAAAATGAGAGACTTTCTAGAAAGCTGGAGAGGGTGGATATTGTTAAGAAATGAGAAACAATTTCAAGGACCTCTTACTTCCCACGTGTTTCCTACAGACAGGTTGAGGGCTGAGAAGGAGAGGGCTCCACTTTCTAATCCCCCAGCACATCACAGCTTCCCTGATGTCTCCAAGAAGGACACTTGCATCGTGGAGTGAGGGGCAGTTTTTTCTGTTGTCCTGTCTGTATCAATCCAGGACTTACAGTCCTGCTCCTCAGTGAAGGCTTGGGTAGATGGTGGCAATCTCCCTGTCCGTAGCTGGCTCTGCTCCCACCAGAGAATCATAGAAAGGTAAAGTGGCATTTGAGTTTTTCACCCATGTTGACCATGCAGAACCCCCAACATGTCTCATTGGCCTCAGGCTGGGACATCATTTGGCAGTGGCCTGAGACTGCATCCACTGGAGCCCTGCTGGCAGCCTGCCGGGAGGAGAAACAGGGCAAGGATCAGCATTTCCCATAAAGATGATGGCCATCAAGCCCAAGGYCTCTGCCCAGAGCAGACTGAGAGAGTAGCCAAAGTTACATCCATTCATTTAATCCACAAACTGATTTGAGTTCTTGCAATGCATCAAGTACCCACTGTGCCCAGGGGCTGAAGTGACTCTTGAGAAGCCATCCTGCCCTCTGAGGCTTATAGCATAGAAGAGGATGTAGAGACTAAGCAAATGGTCCAGCAAATAATCCTATAGTGACTAAGGTTAAGAAGATATACAGAAGGTTCCAGATGCCTGAGAGTCAGGGAGGGCTTCTTGGAGAAACCATCGTAGAGATCTAACTTCCTGGATGCCTTAGTAGTAACTCAGGTAAGACTCTCATGTCCCCTCCCACCTGCTCTGTCACTAGGGAAAGTGGCAGGGTGACTTCAAAGAAGTCACCTAGGAAGAAGCTCCATATGCAAGTTTTCCTGTGTGATACTAAGCAACTCCAGAGCAAGGGTGGAGCCTTGGCCATCTCTGTATCGTCCCCAGTCCTCACCTGGCACAGAGCATGACATGGTGGATACTTAGGAAATGCTAGTTGCATTAAACTGACTGTGAGCTAGGGGGAGAGGAGGGTCCTCCTGATCCAGCAGAGACAGGTACACTCCCAGAAATGCCCTTGCATTGACTTGCCTGTAGTCTCCTCTTTTTCAAAAAGATATCTATGAGGTTGGGAGTAGTTCAGTGGTAGAGTGCTCACCCAGCATGTCTAAGGCCCTGGGTTCAACTCCCAGCACCACAGAACAAAATAAACAACAAAAAAAGACATCTGGGTCTCCAGCCTGCTACCATTCCACTTGAGAAGTGAAAGAAAAGGAAATTCTATAGGCCCAAGGGAGAGCCCTCCCTAGGTGGCCCAGTCCACAATGCAGGTGTGTGCTCAAGAGCAACCTTCTCAGCAGCCCCTCCCTGAATACCTCATCTAAAACTGCAACATTCAACTGGGGACACATGCCTATAGTCCCCAGATTTTTGGGAGGCTGAGGCAGGAGGACTGCTTGAACCCGGGAGCTCAAAGCTAGCCTCCACAACAAAATGAGAACCCCATCTCAAAAATTAAAATTGTGGCTGGGTGAGCTGGCACACAGTTGTAATCCCAGCAATTTAGGAGACTGAGGTAGGAGGATTATAAATTCAAAACCAGCCTCAGCAATTAAGTGAGACCCAAATAAAAAATAAAAAGGACTAGGGATGTGACTCAGTAGTTAAGTACCCCTGTACCCTCCCCACCCCCCAAGATTGCAACATTCCTACCAATCTCCCTTTCCCTCCCCAACATAACGGTTATCTTTTTGGTACCTGGGATTGAACCCAGAGGCACTCAAACCAAACTGAGCCATATCCCCAACCCTATTTCTTTTTAAATTTTTTTCTTTTAGAACCTTTACCTTCTTCGTTTATGTGCAATACTGAGAATTGAACCCAGTGCCTCACACATGCCAGGCAACCGCTCTACCACTGAGCCACAACCCTAGCTGCCCCCACAATCCTAGCTGCCCCCAGCCCTATTTTGTATTCTATTTAGAGACAGGGTCTCATTGAGTTGCTTAGCATCTCCCCTTTGCTGAGGCTGACTTTGAACTCACCATTGATCCTTCTGTCTAAGCCTACTGAGCCACTGGGATTACAGGCGTGAGCCACCGTGCTCAACAACATTTATCATTTTTTAACTTACTAACCATATTTTTTTGCTTATTGTCTGTCTCCCCCACTGGAATGCAGCTCCATGAAGGTAGGAGTTTCTGTTTTGTTTTCTGCTATTTCTCCAATACCCAAAACACTACTGGCACAAAGTAGGTATTTGATACAAATCTGTTGATGGAATGGTGTCATGGACTCTTTGCAGAAATTCAAAGATGGTGGCACACGCCTGTAATCCCAGTCACTTGGGAGGCTGAGGCAGAAGGATTGAAAATTCAAATCCATCCTCAACAACTTAGTGAGGCCTTAAGCAACTTAGCAAGACCCTGTCTCTAAATAAAATAGAAAAAAAAATGGCTGGGGATGTGGCTCAATGGTTAAGCATCCCTGGGTTCAATCCCTGGTACTTCCATCCCCTAGGTCTTTGGACCCTAGGTCTTGCCATGACTGTCCCTTTCTTTTCATTTGGGTCTCAGCTCAAAAACCACATCTCTAGGAGAAGCCATCCCTGACCACCAGACCTAAATCAGACCCACCTGGCCCTTGTGTTTATGTGAGGGTTACCTCTCCATTAGAAGGCGCTGGAGAGTGGGGACGCACAGCTTACCCCCTCACCCAGTTTCAACAATTCAACCCCTTTCCATCTGATTTGGCAGTCACCAACTGTGAGCCAGAATCTGATAGGACCAAGACAAGAGAGGGGTTCTGGTGACCACTTGTCCATTAGTGGGCCAGATCCAGGTCTGGCAGCCACTAACCCTTCCCCAGTCAGGGCACAGCAGCCTTGTATATGCCACGGATGGTCTCTGATGGCGCTGAGAGTGAGGAACTGGGAGATCTCCACGGTGGTCATGGAGTCCTTCACATCCTGCTTGTTGGCAAAGATCAGCACTGAAGCATCTCGAAGTGCCTGGGGAAGAAGAGTCTGTCAGCCAGAAGCCTCCTTCTCCTCCTGCCGGTCCTCTCCACTTCTGCCCCAGCCTCCCAGGTGGGCCCCACTCCAACAGTAGCAACCACATCTGTTGACATCGACAAGTCATGGGATGCCTGCAACCAGCTCCTATAATCCTTACAACAACCTCAGGAGGTAGGAATCCACGAGCAAGAAGAGGGGACAGACCTTGAACCAGCAACTATGACTCCTGTGACCAGTTGTTCTGAGGGCACAGTCATCCTTCATCTTCAATAAACTAGCCCTCCCCATACTGCTGGGATAATGACGAGGATGTCAGGAATGGACCTCAGAGAAGCTGAATGACTAGCCTGAGGACACACAGCTAGAACCCCAGGAAACTTACCTCATGGGCCAGCATCTTGTACAGCTCCTCCCGAGTGGTGGGCAGCCGATCCCGGTCTGTGCTGTCAATCACAAGGATGACGAACTGGCCAGCAGAGGGGAGCCTTAAGGAGCCGGCTTCCTCTTTGTAAAAGTATTTCCTGCCCACTGGCCTCTGAACTGCCCACATGCCAGCTCCATAGAAAAGGAACCGAGCTGCCTCACGATCTCACAACCTGGTCCCATTTTAATTGGCTTTTCTATCCAGACAGAGGAAATCCAGAGCAAACCTGATTGTGTACCAGAGGCCATGCTAAGCCCTGGGTGCTCAGGACTCCATTTAGGCCTCACCCCAATGCTGTGGGCTTGGTGCTGTTATTACCTCCATTTTACAAAGGAGGGTAACCTCAGTGAGGTTAGGAATCTTGCCCTTGGCCACACAGCTGATGAGTGGCAGCTCTGTCTCTTGTTCTACTTCTGCCAAGTGAGAAGACAAGGCCTTCAGAGACTAAGGGCTCATGCTATCCAGTACATCAGACTGGAAACTGCCAGAAGCAGACAGGCAGGATTAAAAAAAAAAAAAAATCTTTACAGGCACTGCAGTGGGTTAAGTGTTTGGCCTATATGCCTTCCCTCTTGTCTGAGTGTTATTTAATTTCACTGTGACTCAGAAAGGTCATTATTAGGTCACTTCACAGAGGGGGAACCTAGGTTAAGAGAGGGGCACTGGCTAACATCACACAGTTGCCTTGGAGATCCCCCAGCCCTGGCGACCTCCTCACCTCCGTGTTGGAGTAGTATGTGCTCCAGGTGGAGCGCAGAGCCTCCTGTCCCCCGATGTCCCACATGAGGAAGTGGGTCTTCCGAAGAACAATCTCCTCCACATTGCTGCCAATGGTGGGACACGTGTGAACCACCTCATTGGTCAAACTGAGGAGGTAGAAGAAGGTTCTAAGACCACAGCCCAGCCCCCTCCCAGCTCTGGTCTCCAGCTCTGGTCCACTTCCTGGGCAGCCGAGTCTAACTAAGAACTCCAACCCAGGTAAACCAAGCACCTGCCTGGGCAAGGGGAAATGAAAACAGAATGAGACCCCAGTGTTGTCCAGGCTTAGCCCTAGGGTTGGGGGGACATTAGAACCATCTTTTCAAATTTAAATTCAAAGTTGAATCACCTGGGAGTCTCGTCAAAATGCAGTTTTGATCCAGTGGGTTTGGGATGCCCAGGACTTTGCATTTCTAACAAGCTCCCAGATCATGCTTCCACTTCCAGTCTRTGGACCACACTTGGAATCTCAAGGGCTGAGAAAAATGAGACAGATAAACCAGCGAGGTGGCGCAGGCCTGTAATCCCAGCGGCTCAGGAGGCTGAGACAGGAGGATCATGAGCTTAAAGCCAGCCTCAGTAACAGTGAGGTGCTAAGCAACTCAGTTGAGACCCTGTCTCTAAATAAATACAAAAAAGGGCTCGGGATGTGGCTCAGTGGTCGAGTGCCCCTGAGTTCAATACCCATAAATAAATAAAGGTATTGTTTAATACTAAAAAAAATATACATTTTTTTTAATGAGACAGATAAAAGTGAGGGCCATCAGAGAGATGAGCTACCTTGTTTAAGTAACATATGTAGAAAACATCCACATTTTTATAGTGAAGGATGTCTCTGAAAGGTGACCAGGAAGTTGAAAGAGTGGTCACCTGGTCACCTGGGAGGAGGAAAACTAGAATCTATAGTGAGAGGGAAAATTACT